TCCTGGATGTGGAGACCTGCCTGGGGTTGGCCTCCTCCATCATCTGTGGCCTCGTCCATCTCCACGTGGAGATCTTTGGCACCCAGGGCAAACCTGCCATTGCCCACCGTGACCTGAAGAGCAGGAACATCTTGGTGAAGAGCAACCGGCAGTGCTGCATCGCAGACCTGGGTGAGATGGGGGTGGGATGTGGTGGCACAGGGATGTGGTTCCCCAGGGATGCAGGACCTTAGGGATGTGGTGGCACCGGGATGCAGCATCCCAGGGATATGGTGGCACAGGGATGTGGTTCCCCAGGGATGCAGGACCTTAGGGATGTGGTGGCACAGGGATGCAGGGTCCTAGGGATGTGGTGGCACAGGGATGTGGTTCCCCAGGGATGCAGGACATTAGGGACATGGTGGCACAGGGATGCAGCATCCCAGGGATGTGGTGGCACAGGGATGCAGGACCTTAGGGATGCAGTGGCACAGGGGTGCATCATCCCAGGGACGTGGCGTCCCAGGGATGTGGTGTCCCAGGGATGTGGTACCCCAAGGATGTGGTTCCCCAGGGATGCAGGACCTTAGGGACATGGTGGCACAGGGATGCAGCATCCCAGGGATGTGGTGGCACAGGGATGCGGTGTCCTAGGGATGTGGTACCCCAAGGATGTGGTTCCCCAGGGATGCAGGACCTTAGGGACATGGTGGCACAAGGATGCAGTGTCCCATGGATGCGGCATCCCAGAGATGTGGTGTCCCAGGGATGCAGGACCTTAGGGATGCGATGACACAGGGGTGCAGTGTCCCAGGGGTGCAGTGTCCCAGAGATGTGGTACCCCAAGGATGTGGCTCCCCAGGGCTGCAGGACCTTAGGGATGCAGCACCCCAGGGATGTGGTCCCCAAGGGATGCAGCACCCTAAGTGACACAACACCCCATGGCACTGCCCGGGGGCTGACACCCCCCCAGGCCTGGCCGTCATGCACTCCCAGGGCAGCGACTACTTGGACATCGGCAACAACCCCCGGGTGGGCACCAAACGTTACATGGCCCCGGAGGTGCTGAGCGAGCAGATCCGCACCGACTGCTTCGAGTCCTACAAGAAAACGGACATCTGGGCCTACGGGCTGGTGCTCTGGGAGATCACCCGGCGCACGGTGGTGAACGGTGAGCGGTTCCCGGTGAAGCTCCGAGCTCTCTCCTTCCTTCTCTCCTTTTTATGTTGGGTTTTTTGGGTTTGGGTTTTTTTTTTTGGGTTGGTTTTGTTTTTCTTTCTCTCTTTCCTTCCCTTCGCCCAGATTAGCTGTAAATTATAAACACTGTAATCTGGTGTCAGCACCCGGCTCCCTGATTAAAGGGCCCGTTAGACTCAATCAGAGCTGTGTTTGTTCAGTGCTGATTAGAAAACAAGTTCTGCCTGGAACTGGGCCATGGTCAGGACCTCCAACCGCCTGAGCTTGGCTTAGGGGGACAGGGACAGAGTCCCAGAATCCCAGGATCACAGGATCACAGAATCCCAGCAACACAGAATCCCAGGATCACAGAGTCCCAGAATCCCAGAGTCCCAGAATGGTTGAGGTTGGAAGGGATCTCTGAAGGTCACATCTAATCCAACCCCCCTGCTCAAGCAGGGACCCCTAAAGCACATCAACCAGGATTTTTGTCCAGGTGGTTTTTGAGTATCTCCAAGGGAGGGAGATTCCACAATTTCTCTGGGAAACATCTTCCAAGGGTCCCCCACGCCAAGGAGGAACCTCTTTGGTGCTGCCCAAGCCTTGCTTATTAAGTCCATGAGAGGCATTGATGGAGTGGTGGGTGCTGGTGGGAGGTCCCACCAAGGCTTGGTCTGCTCAGGATAATCTCATTTATCACCCCAGGGCTCCTTCAGATTAAACATTGACTCTCAATTACCAAACCACGTGCAGGGGGTGACCTTCAGCCAGGTTTTAACCCTTTCAGTCATCCCTCACCCACCAGGATGGGCTGAGCAGCCCCCTGCACAGCCCCAGGGTGTTGGGGACAGGGGCTCCAGGGGACCCTGAGGTTCGGGGGTCACCCCCCCCCCGGGGTGCAGGGGGCTGGTGGGTGCTCGGGGTGACCCAGAGGGGTCAAACCCCGTGGTGCACAGACATATGGAGGCACTAAGCGGGGATTAGCTGGGCCAGCTGGTGGGATCACTGAGGGGCTACTGGGTGGAGGTGTGGGGCTGTCAGGTGGCATTGGTGCCAGGAGCTGGTGCTGGAGCTGGTACCAGTGCTAGAGCTGGT